GAATGAGCAAAGTTAGTCCGAATTAGTAAGACTGTGGTGAAAACCATTTATATCATCTGTTCCACTGACAGTATCCAGAGTGAAATTCATCTGACCTTTGTCACTGATTGGCTGCACCACATCATCAGTTTGGATATTTATGGAGATTTCGACGGGACTACGTAGTCGCACTGCTCATAATTAAGGAGATTTCGGTAAACGCATGAAAAATTCGATCGCATTATCTACCGATCCAGTCACACTTTAGTCACATTCATTCCAGCTTTGCCTCATCTATTCATCCCTACCTTTTGTTCAAAGTGAGCACAGTGGTGATCACTGGTGTATGCTTCACGGAGAAGTCGCAATGAACAATGGGAACAAAAGATATAAGAAGTTTAACGGTACTCTCAAACCGTATTGAGGCTACGGAATCAAGTCGAGAACCTGGGCATGCTTCATGACAACATTAAAAAGAACCATTTGGCTGAAGTGAAGCTCACCAGGTGTCTAACGCCGATTCGACTAACAAACGCGCGTGATGTCGGTAGACCGGGATCGTTGATAAAAGCAAGTGGAACCAAAACACTAATTACGCGCTCCTAAGCCGATCCTCTTTTTAGGTAACTGTTTTTGTTTTCGACCTAGTTCTTTTTCTGTATTTCTCTTTCAACCCATGGTTATTTCGACGCCCTATCTGTCTTCGCTACTATGGTGTACCAGTTCAGCACCCCAATGTGTATCATAAAAAACACCATTACCTGCAAACTTAGGAACTAAGAAGAAATGCAATCCGTTGGTGCTAATGTTTACGATCTGGCTTTATTAGTTGCACGTACTTAAAGATGATCTGTTCATTGTATCGAATAACCATCAGTAGCCAATGTAACATCAGTGTGTGATTGCGATCTGGTGGGGTGATGTGGTTACTACGCACGAGGTAGTCCTACGTATCATATGTACCCGATTTATTTATTAATTTCATTACAGCCAGTCATGCTACGGTCATTGAATAAGGAGAAACCGAGAACAGGATTACCAGCGGGTGTATACTCCCGAACGACAGCACAGGCCAGGTGCACAGTGTCCGGATATACTTGGGCCGAGGAAGATATGCTGTAAAGCCTCGGTTTCAGTCGGGGCAGTCGCTCGAGCAAAACATCCGCCGGAATCGCCAGCGAGGTGAATTCTTCCAGGATATCAATAATTGAACGCCGTTGCTCCAAAATCCATTGTGAATATATTTCCTGAGAGAACCAGTTATCCGAAAAACAAAAGGCAGGCTTTAGTAAAGACCGCTTTTTTATTGCAGACATACTGATTTTAGCTACAGCAGGTTAGTTGATGAACGGATATTAATTATTTCATAGATCCAGTTCCCTTTAGGAATTTCATAAGAGCAAGAACAAGCATCGTCACAGGACAGGTTGAATTCAACTGTTTCACGTTATCTCTTCAGCTATGAACAAACAGTCATGCGAAAGTTCGATCGGGACAATGACAAACCTTTAAACATAAAAAACACTCAACTAGGCAAACTCAGTGCGAAGGTCAAAGATCACCAGTTACAGTGGGGTTGAACAGAGTGATAGGGTGGAAGAACATGTTTATCGATCGGAATCAAGGTGACAGCCCTACCATGGGAGGGTTAGGCTGGCCACAAAGTCTAATTGTTTGCACAGGTCCATATTTTGACGCCGAATGGCTACGGCCTCGGCAAACCGAAACAACCGCCCAGTTGTTTTTGTTAGTTTAACACTCGGAATGCTCGCTTTGGATCGATGCAAAATTTGCAGTCCAATATATTGCGAGCAATAGAGCTAGAGGGGATCTTCGAGCCGTCGAGCGCTAAAATTTCCGGGACACTAATTATGCAAGTTTTATTTTCGGAGCAGAATTTGAGCTATATTTCATACGACCCCATTGTGACAAGATCTTAACGAGATTCGAACTCATTCATTGACGCCGCCTACGATCTGCGAACTGAAACAACATGCATCGTTCTGCTCAGTTCCCATTTGGTCGAACCAAAAACTCATAAAAACCTGTCAAAAAAGAAACCTTGAACAACGAGCTTCCTCTGGAATTCATCTGATGGGCTCCAGTGATTCTGGGAAGGTCTGCCGTAACAGCTAGCTTGAATGCTATCTGGTGTGCCCTTATGATCTCGTAACTAACCTGATAAAAATCTCAAGAGTACAAGATAAGAATACCAAATAAACGGCTTTGGTCCAAAAACTACAGGCATGACTTCCCACTGTGGAATCGATTTACACGATGCAACCACCATCTATCCACGGGTCGGAAAAAATAGTTGCAACTGTAGCATTGGCGAGAAAAAGGAATAGAAACCAACGCAAAATCAAACAGTGAAACAATTTGGTCTAAGCTTCGATAACTGCACAGATATACAATGCAAAACCCCCATGCGAATGTAACAATATAGAGGGTGAAGGTGAGATTACGCAATTGGTAATAGTCGCAATCCTTTCCGTCTAATTAGGAATACGGAAACAAGGAAAGCAAGTGTCAGTGAGATAATTAAGGAATCCGATGGCACACTGATTCATCATCAGCAACACGTCTTGAACGATGAGCAGGACATTTTAAGAAGTAGTTCAGCTGACCCCCATCCACACAAGACTTTCCTATACCTGCTTCAACTGGGCAAATACTGTGAATTCACATCAGTCCTCCAACTGAAATGGAGATTATGTGGGAAGTAAATTATCTTTAAAGGTATAGGCCTCCGGTCGGGGCGGGCTATCCCCATCGACTTTCAGGGATGGACGGTCAATCTTGGTCTTAGAGCTGACGAAACAAATAGGCTCAATATGAGGTAGGGAAGGGATTCCAACTGAATGATGTGAGTCGGTGATCATACAGATTTACAAGAAGGTTGGTAGATCTTTTGAAAACGACAGCGGAATTAGTTAATTCAACGCTTCATCTCAATTTCTCACTGACACCATACTCCATCAATTGTTTACCACAAGCGAACGGTACACGCATAAAATTAGGGTGGTTTTAGACTTGTTTGAGGTTGTATCGCCCACATTTTTACCCTTCTACAAATTTTAGAACACAAAAATTTCTTTCGTAGACCCATCAACTCTGACTTCGGACCGAAAGCCGCTTGTGAATCGGTCGATGGTTCTATACTCAATTGCTACCAGAGAAGTTGATTTTAATTTTGCGATCTCTTTATGGTAACAGTCGAAACCAAGTCCGAGATTACGGAACTTTTTTGATCGAGTTCATTACAGAAAGTGGTGTTCATCCCATTTGCCCACTTTTTCCGTTACTATTTAATTTTGTAAAATGTAAGTTTTGAAAAAACCTATACTCGCACAGGGGTAGTGGTATTCGCTTGCTCCCAAATGATAGACTGTCTGATCTGGAGTATGCAGACGACATTATGCTGCTAAGTGAAGATCCAGGTAAGTTGAAAGCTGTTCTGGATAGTTTGTGTTAGTGTATCTATACTCGGCATGCGCTTTGCTCCTTCGAAGTGTGAAGTGTTACTACAAGATTGGGTTGGTTCAGCACCCAGACTCACTCTAACTGCAGAAGTAATAGAGTAAGTGGACAAGTTTTGTTACTTGGATAGCTATAAATCACCCGGTAGACGCATCGCGGATGAAGTGTCAGTTCGCCTACAAAAGGCTCCGTTGGCAGTCGCCTACGTGAGAAATCCGTGGCGCCGCCCCGACATCGGGCTTTCTGTGAAGGGCCGAGTGCATGCTGCTGCAGTTCAGCCAGTTCTGCTTTGTGGCGCAGAGGCTTAGCAACTACGGGAACAGGATAAAGATAGACTGTCAGTTTTTGAACACCGCTGCCTACGCAGCAATGCACGACTTTGTCTGGGGCAAGTGAACGAGTCACGCTGAGGTTACGCGTGCAGTATCACAGCACAGTACTAAGCTACTACTAAGGGCTCCTGACTGGGAACCTCGAGATCATCGTGACTGGTGATTAGAGATTCTGAATGATACGGTTAAATGTCACAACCAGTGGCGCTCGTTTGTCTACTTATTGTCCTTGCAAACTTAGTCTATATGAATTATATACCTTTTCTTCGACCCTGTTGTTAATATTCTAATCTTCCTTCTGCTCTTTTATCCAAACGGGCAGTCTTAAGGCAGCTTTGCTGTCGTCCGGTTTAATACCACGCCTAACCTAACGGGGCCTTTCGGTTTGCCGTTCCAAGTCTATGGGATTAGGTTACCGGTTTAAGTCACAGAATGGTAGGTCTTCGCGACTATGAAATCCACCCCGTCTGGTCTTCATCACACAAAAAATATGTGATAAGAAACCAAAGCCACCATACGAAACTCCATGGCTAATGCTTGTAAAAACTAAACCTAAAACTATGCATGGATAACAAACTACCGAAGCACTTCCCAGCTTTGACAAACTAGGGGCACAAATTCATTAAACCATATGCGTATCTAACTGCGGGCCTCTGGACTAGAGAATTGTGCAGCTGTCTAGATTGGTATACTCAGCGGGGTCCACAGATTAGAGTTTCGGATGATTCAAAACAAGGTCCTTGGTCCAACACACTATGAATTCGCTCGTCTAAATTACCATGCATTGGGGTTTGATGGACGGGTACTGCTAGGGTGTCCAGAAACTAAGCAGGAGAACGATCAAGGTTATTGCCCAAAGCTTTTAGTTCTGATAAAAACTAACCGCATGAAATCCGCCACTAATCCGTTCTAAGGAATGTACACTCACCTTTCCAGTGGGAGAGCTGCTTCCGAGTAAATACAATCGGTCTGATTCTTTGGTATCCTTTGCGTAATGGGAAGCGACACGTAACGTATTCATCCTCGGAGGTCCAGTGATATCCACGTAGTGTGTAAATGCCGTCCGGTAGGTGCAAGGGGACGGGAATGGTTGCTGGCAGGGGTTCAAAGCTTCGCATAAATGAGATACGTTGTAGAGTTGCATGAATAAGATTTGAGATTAAAAGCAATTTATTTAAAAAACGCTAAAGAACAAGTATACAATAAAATTCGAAACTCATTAACTGAAACTGCTAGAGAACAGATGTCTTTTTACATCACTTTAAGCACTGAAATCCGACGCGAAAAACCATTCAATAAGCAATGAAAGCACTAGTCGAACATTCCAAATTTTTGTAAGTCAACTCCAATGCTAATCTTAATTTAAACGGCAGCAAGTATTCGAACCAAGCAGGCAGCTCGTCTACCATCGATGTCATTGACGGACAGCTGAAAGGGAGAAAGATCTACTGTGCAAACTTCTTCCCCGACAGTAACTGCCTCAATGGAGTGCGTTGGACAACTGCATCGATTATTTTACGCATGAGGAAAACGGTAGGACTAAAAGAATCGTATCTCCAGATAATTCCATTGTTTTGGCCCAGGGGTAAGAGTTTGCAATTCCTAGTCGAAGCTTCGTGGCTTGAGTCCGGATAGGAGTATAAAAATAGTACAGTCAGACCACCAGTCCCAAGGACGAGATAGCTGTCCATGGTAAATTATCGGTCATCACATTTGAAATTCCACGGCAAATTGTTTTGTTTTTTGTGTTAGGTTGGTGGTTGTTCAATTACAAGACCGACGTACTACTAAAACTAAAAAAAACCTGGATAGTGCTAAAAAATCATCTGTCATTCGCTTTAGGTATCAGAGTGTTTTGAATTACCCGATCGTATTAACCATAATGGGACGTTATCTTGAACCTCTGGCAGGTCTATCTAACTCACAAGACAGTGGCGATTGTGTAGTATGGCGGAAATATACGTGAAAAACGAATACCACGTCTAAAAATTGGTGACATCTTATTATTTACTTGGCAAAAGGGAATATAGAATTCCAAAAAAGCTCGTGAATCAGTTTTAAGCGCCTCGCACTTATAGGGGGAAACCAGAGAACAGTAAACGAAGGTCAATGAAACGCCAGCATCTCGTGACCGGCCTTTTTGGTTCTGATTGAGCGGCTAAAGCGAATCCAGTACCTCAAGGATTTTACATATCTTGTACTAGGCTACTGGTGAAATGAGTCAAAAAGCAGCAATGGACACGAGGGGTTGGAATTTCTGTTGGTAACTCACAATCAACCGCGAGCAGAGAAATTGGGTGATCCAGATCAATATTTAAAAGCATTCCAATCCGATTCACTAACGCTTCAGAGTTCCATGGCAGCACAGCCACATGATCTCCGGTTTCGTATCTGATGAGGAAACATAATACGGATGAAAATTCTCATTATTTTTTCTTTCTCAATGGCCCATGGTGAATCACGTGAGTACGAACAAAAAACGAATTCGAGAATCGTCAACTGTATGTTTATTTATTTACGGTGTTACATTGATTTTCTTCCATTCGTTTGCACCCCGTTTTTTGGATGGCCTCGCTTTTTCTGTTTTTTTCGATTACCTGTTATCATAAAAAAGGCTGGGTACTGAAACTCGATTTCATAGAACTCTCAAACATGCATATGATTTTTGGATGTCAAGCAACAATGTGTGAGGAACAACCGAAACGGTACACTCCATAGCCACGAGAATCTACTGTTTAGTTGTGAGCATACGCAAGCCACCCCGTGGAACTCGCAATGCGAATGACACAAGGTCCCGATAGGGCAAGATTGGTGTTGAATGGGAAAACAGCGCACTTGTGTAACACTAAAGTTGGGTGACGGTGATGATGGTGATAGGGCTCGAGTCTTGCATTGAGCGGTTTTCACGAAGTCATGCGCTAGCAGCACATATTGAACAGCCACGTGAATGTTTTAAATAAATTTACTGTGAAGATAAACCGTTAATAGGAGGCTGAGAGAGAGCATCACTGTTTGCTCTGATCACCCTCCGCTGCATAACTGGGAATCTCAAGTAGTAATACACTGAGTGTGTGATAAGCGTTATTCAAGTCTGGTCGCACCACTGGATAAACGAAGTTCGACCGTATGAACAATGAGCTAAATGAGTTTGTTTTGGTTTCGTCGGAATAGTTTATGCTCTTTCTGTAGAATCGGGGAAGGGCATTTTGATGCTCTATATTGTAGCAGTTAGTGCGACCGACAACCTCGCTCAATTTTCACATCTGATAGAATTGAAAAGTTAGCTGTACAAAGAACTTGTGTGGGTGGACATAGTGCGCAAGACCTTAAGTTGAAATCCGCGAGATAAACCTACCAATATCGGATCCACGTCTCAGTAGTTCAATGTCATCTGGACATCCATTAAGCTACACACAACCTTGTTAAAAAATTCTCCTTGATCAATATCGATAAAAACAAACCACCGAAGCTAATTGGTTAACTAATCATGTTTGGAATGAATGAAAGTCAAATAGGATGAATAAGGGGCGCGTACCGTAGACCGGATCCACGCAAATCCAACTCGATGTGCCGACAAGATCGTGTTCCGGATTTGTGCAACTCTCTGTTGACTTGAACCGGTGCCAGGAATGGATTATCTGCAGTGAATGGACTGGGTGAATGATAGACAGAAGAAGAACGAACGAAGCACTAATTAGATATAACTGTTATTCGACCTCAAAATCTGTTCATTATTCAGACAAGAGGTCTGGGAACAGAAACTCATTTTCGGAGGTTTCAGGAAATGACAAAACAGTGAACTGAACGACAAGTACAAGTGCGTCCAAAAATAAACGCGGATCAGGGAAAATGAGAGCCCAGTTCAGTGGTGATCAGATTTTAGTTCAACAGTACACGAGCTAAGTATGGAAATGGCAAATTTCGGAGCAAGTTTCTCGTGATGGGAATGACGCAATAAGATGAGCAAGTTTTGGAGTTGGAGTAGTGTTGTGAAGTGCCGTCATAAAAAGGCAAATAGCACTTTTGAGAATTTTCAAAGCTAAATTTTCGTTTGCATTAACCAGTCAATCACACACCTTGTTTACCAATTCAATAAACAGGAATCCAGGGAATATAACGCTTTTGATCCTGGGGTCCGAGATCTGACCCTCTCCATCACCACTCCACTTTGGAGGTAGGTAGCTTCGCTATCGTCCAAACCTGACCTGGTTGAACTTTATGTGATTCGCCATTCCAAGTCTCAGACACTGACTGATATAACTGCGTGGCGTGGCACTTGTGCATTCACTGTTAGTCCTTGCAACCTTAGCCCACGTGAATTCTCTATGATCACGTTCACATTGCTCTCAACACTCCAAGCATTCTTCTACTCCTTCATCCAAATGGGCGGCCAAAAGACAGTAACCGAAACCACCGCACGAAGGTGTATGATTATTGGCTATTCAAAATCAAACTGAACTGAACTGAACTCCAAGTATCGGTCCTCAGAGTCACGGTTTCCATGAGTGAATAGCAGGTTACTCGTGATAACGGGGTTTGCCTCGTCTGCATTCATTACAAAAAGGTGAGTAATCAAAAATTTGAGTTCAAAACACCTCTCCATCCCCTTCACATTTAAAACACGAGACTAATGGAAAATTATAAGAGGTCACTTTTTCCACGGCTGTGGATCGCGAGCTGACTACCACAAAGTATCTTCTTTTTTTCTTTTCCATTTTATTTCCTTTTGTTGCATATACAAAGATACAATTTTCAGGAAGGTGGAAGCGGCCAATCAAAGGGCGGAAACCTGTGTCTAGCTGTACTAGAGTAATAACTGAGACGAACGAAATAGGTAATCCTGTGTGAGGCACTCAATAATAAAACAGGAAATGGACGTAGTCTTTAAAGTTGGGCCGAATGAAAATTAGCACTAAGCACTCGAACTTACGGCACTTGATTTGAATACGAGCCTATGAATCTCGGCTCCCCGCTGAAATACTTTGTTTTCTTCCAAAAATGTCGCTCGACCGGGACGCTCCTATATAATCTTGAAGATGGAAGTTGATTAGGCCTCTCGGCTACATTCAATGAAAAGTAGTCCATCAATTGATTAACAAGTCCGGTTTGCCAATCTAGAAATGTATACTCCATTCCACTAAGTTCATCGCCCAACCCTAGCCGGTAGAAACGCTTAGCACCGTGTTTCCGTAGAATGCGATCGATGAGTTTTCCACAAGCATTGTAATATGTGTACATGCTGTTACCCAGACCGAACACCTATTACAAAGAGATGAAAGAGGAACAAAGTGCTACTGAATAATAATAATAATAATAATAATAATAATAATAATAATAATAATAATAATAATAATAATAGGGATAGCACATTTTCATGACGTTTGATAATGGGAAAGGGTAGAAAAAATGTTGCGCGTACAAGTCAATAGTCTACGAAATAAACCTACCCAGCAGCACTACAAGCCGAAATTTTCCAGTCCCCAATCACATCTGCACTGAAGTACAGATGCTTTTACCTACACCTCAAGAGAGTGAATGGGGCATTAAATGGGTATCTGTCTTACAATCGTTTGAGACTAATCAGACAGAGCAACTTCTATCACTTGTAATTTGATGATCAAGACACTTAGGTGACCGAGAGGGGATGCTAAATGCTCTAACTTGACCGTATCTACGAAATAATCTGAATTTTAAAAATCACCAAAGTAACGGTTGTTAAGGTGCAGAAAAATAACAGAGAAATCATTTTTGTTATTGAAGGAGTAAGCTATTTACTTTCCATTACAAACTCTTGCTCGTTTGAAAATACACAGGCAACCTGGATCTTGAAACTTCGAGTGATTTGGGCTGCTACCAACAGTACGGGTAGGTCCACAAGTTCTGAGGTTTGAACCCAACAGCTGCTACCCAACTTCGATAGTGGACAGCATGCCTGTTGTCTGGCACAACACCGAACCTTTACTATCCAATCGCTCATCACTTTAAGTCCCAGAGATTAGGCTGCCAGTTCCACAGAAAAAAAATTCACCCATTTAACTAACAGGTGCATTTCCATTACCGATCATCACAATCGAAAATGCAAAAAAGATATCATTCGTATTAGGTCAAGATAGACGATCGGAGGAATTAAGAAAGCGAAGAGTGAGGGGCGCATTACCAAGTGGCTACCAGCCCACTTGAAAGAAAGAAAGTACACATCAACAGCATCAATCTTTAACTCGATTCAGATTATTTGCAAACAGCGTAAACGCACTGTGTAACACAAGTTCTTAAAATCCATGTCAATGTGCTCCAGCCACTGTACAAACGGTTGAGCGTCGTCCGGTGGATCGCCCTCGCCGTAAGTTGACACGACGAATACGGCCACGAAATGGGGTAAATCGCACAGTTTGAGAAATTCTGCCTGACAAAAACAGACAGGTAAATGTAAGTCATTAACGTCCATTCGTTAACTAAGCGATCAGCATTGATCAGAACTTATATGATCAAAATCAAAACTCTGCCATTCATTCATTTTGCAAATACCAGGAACAGGATCATTTGACTACCACTGGGTTTCTATGTGAAGGAACTGTTTCATCGCTCCGAGTTTGAGGAATAAATTATCAATTGTTTTTTTAACCACATCAAACAAAACGAAAATGAAGTGAACACATTAGCAACCAAATCACCCCTAATTGTTCTGACAAAAATTCTCAGTTTGAACTGTACCTCGGATTTACCTCATGTCTTGTATTATCTCCAACTGAAATCCAACTTGTATTGTATTGTATTGTGTATTGTGTATAACTTTTGCAAACACTGGAGCTCACATTTCAGTTAAAAAGTATACACGCTAACCGTCACAATGTACATAATCAACGGGGAGAAAAGTTTTCGCAGGCATGGGACATTCATAATCCGAGGTTAAGACAAAGTTCACTCCTTGTTCGCTCTTTGTTTGTGAGTAGACGAGCAAGATACGGTATGGGTGAATTGCGGTATGCATTAATTCGAGATGAAATTTGACGAAATTGGGAGCGTGTTGAATGATGGGAATGACAAAGTGTCAGTTCCGCATACAATGGGTGGTCCGGATCTATGAGGATCCTCTCGGCAAATTTCACACAGGAAGTTACGTGATACTCGGAAAGCTTTACAGCTAATTCATTCACAGGAATGGAAGAGACACGACTAATAATGGTTAGACCGCGGCGTAAGACTTT